AGGTACTGTAAAAATCTCTGGTTGAATATGAATAATGGGATGGGTATGAGGGAGTGGTATATGGAATTGTCTGTTTGATAGTACACCATACGAAGCAACCTAACCTAACCTAACCTAACCTAACCTAACTAAAACATTAAAGATAAAACACTAAATGTGGTCAACAGTGCCAACGTTGACCATTGTAACTACACCGGAGTTTTGGGGCCATTAAACTACACGGTGCCACCAATTAATTTGAAGGGTTAGTTTGGGGTCAGAGTACCATGGTGTCTTTCCTGGAACTAAACTAGGGATCGTTCTGTAGTTTGGCTTCACCACGGAACTCTGTCTGATGATTGGTTGTTGTTGTTGTTGTTTTGGATGACGGACGTTGACGAGTGTTGTAGAATTGTTGACATGTGTTCACTCTCTCTTACACACACACCCACACACCCACACACACACGCATATAGACACACGTACAGTCATACACTTTGTCAAGGTACACTCGGGCCTCTACCTGCCACAGGAACTTCAATCAAAATATCCAGGATTTATTTGCTCGGCTAAATTGGAATTTCCAGGTGACTTACCTGCCGGTATAAATAACCTTTCATTCGTGGCTGTGGTGACGTCACTACCTGTCGTGTGAGGCGGCTGTGGTGACGTCACTACCTGGCGTATGAGGCGGCTGTGGTGACGTCACTACCTGTCGTGTGAGGCGGCTGTGGTGACGTCACTACCTGTCGTGTGAGGCGGCTGTGGTGACGTCACTACCTGTCGTGTGAGGCGGCTGTGGTGACGTCACTTCCTGTCGAATGTTACCACCTATCCTGTACGATTTTAGTGAAATACCTAACCTAAACCTAACCTAACCTACCCAACACATCCTCAATAACACATTCGTCTCACACTATCCCAGGGCCTGATTCATATCACATCCCAAGACATTAAAAAACAAACTCGTATATACAGGTAGAAGAAAAAAAATCAGATGAGGGGGAACTTAACTAAACCAAAATCACCATTGTTTCTGTCGCATCCCTGGGTCGTTGTGATGGAGGGGGAGGGCTACTGGTCGTTATCAATATAGTTTCCTCTTTTGTGTTGATCTTCAGCTTGTGTTTCCTCTTGTCACTGTTTGTCAATAATCTGAAACACTGATTTGTAGTTGGGAGTTTGTGTTGCGCATCTTGGGGTATATTGAGTGTGTTTCTTTGACTTGAGTGTTTCGCTGATTTGAGTGTATATTTTTTGTGTATCTGACTTTTTTTATCAATTACTATCTATTTATCTATCTATCTATCTATCTGTGTAGCTGTCTATCTATCCATATATCTATCTATCTATCTATCTATCTATCTGTGCGTGTGTGTGTTCATTAATTTCTATGGGTATGAATATAGACACACACACACACACACACACACACACACACACACACACACACACACACACACACACACTTGTATAAGAAAATTGTGTGTGTGTGTGTGTGTGATGAGCAGGAAAACAAGATTTAAAGAAGAAAATGAAAAGGAAAAATAAAACATAATTGAGTAATGGGAAGACGAAACAGTCAATAACGAACGATGTTAAACACAGAAAAAGAAAATAATCAAGAAAAGTCATAAAACTAATTAAACAAGAAGCAAATATGGAATACACAATAAACTGATAAATAGGACAATAAAAACAAAAACAATAAGTATTAATTTTTTTTTAGAAGAAAACAATAAATTAAATGAAACACGAAAAAAAAACTATTAATATCAATGTACAAAGTCGCTCTATTGACTAAGCTCTGCCCACGCCATCCATCCCTAGCAACCAGAACGCCTCAGACAAGCTGACTGGTTGCTAGGGAGGAAGACACCATCGATTTCATTGGTCCCATCACTCAAGGTATTGGCAGGGACATAAATACACCAGCGGGATATTCACAGACAGTCTTACATCAGAGCCGGAAAGATTCAATGGATGTTGTTTACTCAAGTTTCAAGTATATGGCTATATGTACACAGGTGATCGTGTGGGCCTCAATTTTACCTTGAATTTCAGCATTGGATTTTGAGCACCAGTACTAATGGGTCCTGGTGCTAATGGCTGCGTCAGTACTAATGGACCCCCGTACTTAATTGGCCCCCAGTTCTAATCGGCCTCCAATCCAAATAATAAGGCTATAGATTGTAGTGGTTCCTATTAGGATTGAAATCTATAAAGACTGAGACCTATTAGCACTTGGTCCAATTAGCAGCGGTGCCAATATGACCTGCACCCTGACCAATATAAGTTGCTAATGGTAATAGTGCCAGAGTGCCATACAGATATCTTAATGTTTTGATGGTCATTAAAGATAACTGATTAAATTATCTACTTCAATTATGATTCAGCCAAGTTTATTATTATTAATATTACTTGGACTGATATATAATTATTAATATTTATATTCCTCTATATCTAAATATTATTGAAATTTAAACATCGACATACATAAAATACAACTTATATATCTTTGAACTTTAAAAAAATTAGAACTTATATTTAATTCTATATAATATTTTTTGTGTTGAAATGCATTAACAATTAAACATATAAAATACATAACCAAACTATTTATACAAAACTTTTTAATTGTAAATCGTGAAAGAACAGTAAGAATGTAAACAATATTTTGATTGAATTATATTAGATGTGTTCATTATATAATTTATACCTACATGAGGGTTATGTATTGGAAACTATGTATACAAGATTAAAGTATAAATACATATATATATATACATATGCAGTATACATTCCAAAATTTGCTGTACGTATAACCTACTAATTATATGTATTTATGCATATCTACTGCATGTATATTTGATAGTTAAGGATTAAATTATTTATGAATTATTACATTAATGGACACACAAATACACTCACACACACACACTCACTCACTCACACACTCACACACTCACTCACTCACACACTCACACACTCACTCACTCACACACACACACTCACTCACTCACTCACACACACACACACACACACACACACACACACTCACACGGCATCGTAAATTTCGTCCATCAAAGCCTTCATTTCGGTGCCGTAATTTCCCTTACGATGCGGGTGACTCGATGTAGCAGCCGCCAGAGTTAAATTTCCCTCAGTTAAGTGATGTCGCGAGAGAGAGAGAGAGAGAGAGAGGAAGGGGGGGGGTTGTGCTGCCAAAACTCCCAGACCAGGAAGCGGAATTGAAACCGGACGTGATGTTTTTTTTACGCTCAAGCTTTTGCGTATTTGTTTTATATTACAGCTTAGGTTAGGGTAGGTTTGGTTAGGTTAGGTTAGGTTAGGTTAGGTTAGGTTAGGTTCGGTTAGGATCTGGGTCCGGTTCCAGGGGGGGTAAATTTTTTTATTAATGTTTCAGAAAAGTTAATCATTTATATCTCTCCGTCTATCTTCAGATGTTGGGTCTATCTTCAGATGTTGGGTAACTCTCTCTCTCTCTCTCTCTCTCTCTCTCTCCTCTCTCTCTCTCTCTCACGCACACACACACACACACACACACACACAAAGCACTTTACAACAACCCCTCCCTAACGAAACTCCCTTACCGCCTCACTTCTTGACGATTGCATTTACACGTAAGGAATTTAGGGTTAAGCTTCAGTTTAATCAGCCTTTTCTGACCTGCCTGATAGATGCATCATTATTTTGAGTCACATTATCTCTACATATGTTGCCAGGCGAATGACCAGCCGGCACTAAGGCAACTTTTGTGTATTCTTGGTCAACCTCACAGCTGTTGATACTCCTCACAGCTGTTGATACTCCTCACAGCTGTTGATACTCCTCATAGTTGTTGATACTCTTCATAGCTGTTGATACTCCTCACAGCTGTTGATACTCCTCACAGCTGTTGATACTCCTCACAGCTGTTGATACTCCTCACAGCTGTTGATACTCCTCACAGCTGTTGATACTCCTCACAGCTGTCGATACTCCTCGTAGCTGTTGATAGTCCTCACAGCTGTTGATACTCCTCACAGCTGTTGATAGTCCTCATAGCTGTTGATACTCCTCACAGCTGTTGATACTCCTCACAGCTGTTGATACTCCTCACAGCTGTCGATACTCCTCATAGCTGTTGATACTCCTCTGGCCTCGGCCCAGTACTCCCACACAGCTGTTGATGCTCCTCACAGCTGTTGATGCTCCTCACAGCTGTTGATACTCCTCACATTAGTGCCTCTCACAGCTGTTGATGCTCACCAGCTGTTGATTATCCTCCACAGCTGTTGGTACTCCCCTCACAGCTGTTGATACTCCTCACAGCTGTTGATACTCCTCATAGCTGTTGATAGTCCTCACAGCTGTCGATACTCCTCACAGCTGTTGATACTCCTCACAGCTGTTGATACTCCTCACAGCTGTTGATACTACTCACAGCTATTGATACTCCTCACAGCTGTTGATACTCCTCACAGCTGTTGATACTCCTCACAGTTATTGATACTCCTCACAGCTGTTGATACTCCTCATAGCTGTTGATACTCCTCACAGCTGTTGATACTCCTCACAATCATCAAAGATCATCAAAACGGGACAATAATTATTACCTTCATGAAATTAACACTTAAAATATAAGCAAATCCATAACGAATAATTTATGAAAACGTCCTTAAAGTAATGAAATCTTTGTGTCCAACCTTAATAAAACCATCTTTAATGTATCGTTCAGAAGCAATATATCGCTCAGTATTGTTATTGTTTTTGGTGATATTTTTTTATTGATTTTTTTTTGGGGGGACGAATACTCACAATGCATCGTTCAGTTTTGGGGTTTTGTTCTTATATGGTTTATCGTGTGTACTGTACGTCCAGTTATATAAACCTCCTACACACACACACACACACACACACACACACTATCGTCCAAAGGTATATAATGTATATATTTCGTGTACGTTCGTTTTGTGTGTGTGTGTGTGTCTAGATGTGGTGTTAGGTGTGTATAATTGTATATATATATATATATATATATATGTGTGTGTGTGTGTGTTTGTGTATGTACGTCCGTGTTAAATGTGTGTGTTAGTGTACGTATACTATGTACCTGTGCGTGTGAGTGAAATATGTACATCCACAAAAAACACCAAATCCACACAGTGTCATCTCCCTTTGTACATCTTTACCCCCAAAAAGGCAAAAGGCAAAAAATACTCCTCAAATAATGTCATTAAGAGGTATAACTTGTGAGTGAGTGTGAGGGTGGGAGGAGTCTGGACGTCACACAGCGTTGGAATCATAGGCCGGGTTGTCATAGACCTTGTCGAGGCGATAAGAGGCGGTCCTTGGGTTGTAGGTGGCGACGGCAGGGGGTGGGTCGTCGTCCCTGGGGAGAGGCCATCGTTACTAACATACTCTGCAAAGGTCATGTACATTATACCCCTACTGGTAACATGGTGACTAAAAGAAGTATTATTATCATATCAGGTGAAATATATGTCATTAAAGAGAGCATATTGAAATAGAGGTGAAATATATTTATAACAAAGGTAGTTATTGTTAGCTGTATCTTTAAACACACACACACACACACACACACACACACACACACACACACACACACATACACACACACACACACACACACACACACACACACACACACACACACACACACATACACACACACACACACACACACACACACACACACACACACACACACACACACGTTTTTAAGTGAAATGAGGAGTCATGATAGATGAAGGAAGAGAAAACATTGAGAAAGAGGGAAACAACACTTGCACCGGCCATGAACGATGAGTGCCACCAGTGCTTACTAGACGGAGCTGAAGAATGAGAACACATAGAAAGGCGTCCCAGATGGCCTGAGCTACATTCGCCAGCTTGCCAATCTCTGTAGATGTAGTAGAATAAAGTCAGTTCCATCTGGCTACACCACCATCTGGCTCGTGTAACACCACCATCTGGCTCGTGTTATACCACCATCTGGCTCGTGTAACACCACCATCTGGCTCGTGTTATACCACCATCTGGCTCGTGTTATACCACCATCTGGCTCTTGTAACACCACCATCTGGCTCATGTACTAATCCCCACCAGTTATGTTGTAATCCTCTCAGCTGCTCTGCATCTCCCCAACTCGAGTTTATCCACCCCAGGTTCACTGTATCCACCCCAGGTTCACTGTATCCACCCCAGGTTGATTTTAATCTCCTCAAGTCAATTCTGATCAACCAAAGTCAGTTTTGTCCTCTATAAGTCAATTCTGATTCCCCAAGTCAATTCTGATCTCCTCAAGTCAATTCTGATCTCCCCAAGTCAATTCTGATCTCCTTGAGTCTATTCAAACCTCTGTAATATGACCTCGCCAGGTAACTGATGACTTACCTGCCTCTGTTCCTGTTCCGATAGGCTTCTCTGTGGTAACGAAAACTCCAGCGTGGGTACCGTTATCTGTACCGTTGTTAGTACCGTTGTTGGTGCCGTTGGTGGGTAGCGTTGTGCCGTTAACAGAAGGCGTTGGCGTTGTGGTGCTTCCATTATTCTGTTAACAAAAGAAGTCCGATAACCAAAAGAGTCCTGATGGTATTTAAATGCTTACGGGGAATATACCAATATATTTAACCCTACATATATAACACATACTTGACTGCCTATACGTATAAAAGTGTCTCTTATTAACCTCTTCAGGAGTAGTGTCTCATTTAGGGATTTTGTTCTGACTGGCGATTGTAATCAGCTGAGAGAAACTTAACCTACCATTCAGTGGGTTCAAACCTAACCTAATCTAACCTAACCTAACCTATATCGATTAAGAAACAGATATGACGAAGTTAAGAGGAAACTAAGAGCAAAGAATAATAAAGAACTAGACAGTGACTATGTTAAAACCGTATGTTAAACACTCCCCTCAAACGTGATAAACCTTGGCGAGTGAAAGGTGTAGATTGAAAACATATAGAAAATAGGGGAGTTTGTGAATGTACTGACCTGGTTTACAATAGGTGAATCTGTCGGGACCTGGGTGGTGTTAGCCTGATGAGTGGCGTTCTCGGTGGTGTTAGGCTGGCTTGTGGTTACCTGGGAGAAGTTGACTGAGTTTGTAATTTACTTTTTTTTTTAAGGGTGATCAGAAGGACTTGTAGTAATAGATGATAAACATTCCTGGGTTTTCAGAATCGACTCCCTCAGGTACAGTTCCCTTCACTAGCGCGTTTACAGGGCTCGTCATATAAACAATTCACAGATCATTACATTGAGATATTTGTTTTAATATTGTTTTAATTTGATTCCATAGTATGTTTACTATTGGGAGTTTCCTTAAGTCTAATGTAAACAAACACAGGGCTGCCACACTGCACAAAACCTGACGAGCCCCTGTAAACGCACTAGTGAAGGGGACTGTCCCTGGAGTCCTCACATAGGTTAAATGGAAGAATTTAGCCTCTAGATCCGCAGCCAATCCTGTGAGGTAGCTCCTAATTACGACCAACTACCTCCTAGGTAATTTGAGGGCCCTGAGGGACTGTATTCTGTAAGGTGATCTGGTGAACAATAATTAAGAGCCTTCAGTGTTATTAAAAGCTGTGAAGACATTATCACAGTTTAGTTTGACTTTAGAGGCCGATTAGGTTAGGTTAGGTTACATTAGGTTAGGTTAGGTTAGGGCAGATGATTATGTGTTTATTTGAACCAAAGTTTGTATGGCTGAGATAAACACTTCACCAAAACAACTTAGAGATGATACAACTAAACTTACTGAAAAATGGTAAGTTACTGTAGTAATAGGATGGGTCAAAGGGATTAAATTTTCCCTGTGAGTAAATTCAGAATAATGCCACTGTTACAGGGGTCAAAGGAGGCCAATGTGGAGGTCAAAGTGTAGTCGCTAAGTTCATCTTATGCTTGACCTACTGACGATAAAGCTCCAGCCATTTTAGTCTGTCCCTAGCAACCGTGATAGCTCAGACAAGCGGATCAGTTGCTAGGGTAATAATGTGCCGTGACATCACCTAATAACTACTGAGCCCATTCATACTTGTCGAAAAAAGAAAACAAAGAACTGCATCTCTGGCATTTATTACGACGCCTTATGCTACACCATGACCCAAAACACGAAGAGACGTCGTTTAGTTACGAGTGAAATTGATTGGGCTCGTAGGATGGCTTTGATTGGTCTGTTAGTTGTCAGTGGGCGGGGCTGTCGATAGTACACTGACCTTATCGAAGTTATATGGATGCTGTAGTGAGCTTGTAGAAGTTAGCTGTATTTTGTAGTTATATTTTAATCTTTACTAACACAAGACACACTGAACCTGTTACAAGTTAGCTTACCTTGTGATGACCTGTAAGAAATTTGACTTGTTAGAGGTTAATTAACTTACCATAAAAAAATTTAGTTTAGCTGAGATCTCCGAGGTTAGCTGAGACAACACAATTTACCTGGGTCAAGCTTAGCTGAGACCACAGAGATTAAGTGAGACCACAGACGTTAGCTGAGACCACAGAGTTTACCTGAGACCTAAGAGGTTAGCTGAGACCACAGAGATTAAGTGAGACCACAGACGTTAGCTGAGACCACAGAGATTACCTGAGACCTAGGAGGTTAGCTGAGACCACAGAGATTAAGCGAGACCACAGACGTTAGCTGAAACCACAGAGATTAAGCGAGACCACAGACGTTAGCTGAGACCACAGAGTTTGCCTGAGACCTAAGAGGTTAGCTGAGACAAGTTTAGCTGAGACTAAGCTTAACTAAGAACATGTAAACGATAAAAAACATAAGAGTGACTAACCGACTCACTGACATTCACCGTGGGCGGAGTGGTAGGGATGACGGGCGTGGGCGGGGCGACCATCACACCCATCACCTTCATCATGGCCACCGCCCACACCATCTTCTTGGACCCCTGCACCTCCAACCGTACCTGTAATGCCAACCCACACCTCGTTAGGATCAATGATACCTGTAATTACCTGTAATATAACACCTCTTTATTGACACTATCATCACCATTACAGTTGTTTACTGTTGTCACTATCACACCTGTTTACTGACGTCATCATCACACCTGTTTACTGTTGTCACTATCACACCTGTTTACTGACGTCATCATCACACCTGTTTACTGTTGTCACCATCACATCTGTTTACTGACGTCATCATCACACCTGTTTACTGTTGTCACCATCACACCTGTTTAATGACGTCATCATCACACCTGTTTACTGTTGTCACTATCACACCTGTTTACTGACGTCATCATCACACCTGTTTACTGTTGTCACTATCACATCTATTTATTCTTGTCACTATCGAAACTATCAAATAAGGTCACTGTCAGTCTCACACCTGTTTACTGACGTCATCATCACACCTGTTCACTGACGTCATCACCATACCTGTAACTAACCTCCCCATCACACTTGTTCCAGCGGCCAGGTAAGACTCCCATCATTAAATACAATAAATTTAATTATCTTAGAACGTCAACTAAGTCTTAATATTTCTGCATTGAGTCTTTATTTTTAATATTATTTTATAGCTGTCAAAAAATAATGTCATTCTTTTAGCTTTTAACCAACGCTTAGATAATTGTAGCTGTGAAATAATTTAGTAATATATTATTTTCTTTTTTTGTAAATTAAATACTTCGGTTTATTTTCTTATGGTGGAGTTATTGACGTCCACTGTTCACACACACACACACACACACACACACACAACTTACACTAAAATTTCCCTCCGAGGTGACGTTGTCTAGAGTGAAGTCCTGAGTGACCCACATGCCATTTTGCTCCGCCAGGTCATCGCGGTAGGTGTAATTGAAGGCTGTGTACCTCATCTCCTCGGCTCCAACCACCTCACCTGTCGGGGGAGGAGGAGGAGAGGGAGGTAAGGAGGTGATAGGTATAGCAAGGTGAATCACTGGTCAGAAATGGGGTGTTAAATATATCCCAAACAGATTCATACGTTGTTGTGGTCATGTGACAAGAGGGATTACGTGTGAGTATTGATAACACCCTAATGTACTTCTGAAAACACCTGTAAGTAGGTAATTACGTGAGAGATATACTGTAGGTAAACAGATTATGTTTCTGATGTTACCTGCAGATGTAACTTTCATATGACAGTAACAGGTGTAGATGTGATGAAATCTGTGTAAACACTTTAAAGGACTTCTGAAATACCTGTAAGTGCCGCAGTTCTAAATAAGTGTAAACACACCTGTAAATGACGCAGTTCTACATATCTAATGACGATTTTAGATAACTGGGCATAAAAGGATATAGATAAATACCGTAAAATACTTCTGAAACACTTTGGAAATGACGTAACCTGAGAGTTAATTAGATGGAAATATTAATTAAGGTGAACCCAGGTGAAGCTGAACACCTGGGGTAACTCTCTCTCTCTCATCTATCAGTGAGTGGGGCATGGGGGTATAATAGGGATACCTTCATGGGTAAGAGGGAGTAAACCAATAAAGCCACCAATGAGTGGGGTGAGAGGGCCATTAGACAAAGACACACGAGAGAGAGAGAGGGAGGTCAGTATTTTTAGGTCGTCTTGCTGAATTACACATTATGCTGGTTATTGAACATATGAGTGATGCACTTAACTCCGCCACACAACACGTCCTGTTATGTTCTGTCGACTGTCAGCTCGGTGGATACTTGACTGAGTGACTGACTGGCTAACTGGCTAATTGACTGACTTACTGACTGATTGACTGAATGGCTGGGTGTTTGGCTACCTAATTGGCTGACTGACTAACTGATTGACTGGCTGATTGACTGACTGACTGACTAACTGATTGA